GTGCAAATAACCCAAAGTTAGATTTTCGTGGAAGTTGTATAGGGTATTATATGGTCGGCCCCGTCCGACTATACTGCCCCGCTCACTGGTTTTTTTATTAGTGAGCAGACTTGTAAAGTCGGATAGGATCGTCCATATGATACCCTACACAACTACCACGGGACTTAAATTTTTACTGCTTCGAAATCTTGATGTTGTGAAAATTTTCGTGGCAGGTGCCCCATATTTGTGCCTCTTATTTATTAATCCATGGCAATGTTAGAAAATATAGAACCCTGTGAATATTTTGAAATATCCGACCACATGCATCAGGATTTTTCGAATTAATTTTCCATCAAGTAGACATGTAATGTAAAAGTTCGTGGTTTTTAGATCATAAACATGAACTGTAGAGCGATTAGAAAAATAGACAAAAATAATGATTTTGGTCCATTTGATCCTACAAATGTTATGCGATTATCACCGAAAATAAGATGTTCGTCCTTAATCTTCATCCTGAACATTCAATTTTTTTTTCTTTAAGTTATTGGCCCGCCTCCCGATTATTATGTAGATTTGTCTACGTGCCTTCAAAGTAAGTTAAATTTTGACATAAATTTCCTTGGTGAACTTGACCAAATCGTAAGGATGATTCCAATTGTGTTTTTTAATGAAATCCTCCTACTGCTTGGATTCCATTGAACGACTCGAACTTGATAGGTTATCCGTATTCGAAAAAAAACGTGTTAGTTAAGCGAAGGCTTAACAAATCGCCATTTTTAAGCCCGTGGGCGTATTATACTTTTTAAACTTTTTCATTCGCGTCCGTCTTGTGAGCCGTCCGAAGACGAATTGAACATTTAACATTTGCAATTTTTCACACAAAAGTCTTGGTACGATCACCATCAAAACTGTCATGTTTATTCGTTGAGCAGATCCCCTTTCCCATGTAAAATTTTAAAATGTTCGGGCCATAATTTGATCTCTAGGGCGACCAGACAATAAAAAAGTTGTTGGTCCATTTGATGCCTTGAATATTACCAAAAACAATAGGTGTCGTATGTCGGTCTGTACTTAGTTTACAAATTATAATAGACATAAGGACGAACGGACACGCATAACTAAACCGATTCAGTTAGTCAATATCGATATAATAAACGGTGGGTTTGGGACCAAAAAATCCACTGTCCCGTTCTTCTGTTTATAGAATATACCTAAACGATCTTCTATTGACCACATGTAGGCTTTCAGCAAATAGGAGACTTTCTTCTATATATGGAGACGGCCTTTTAGGTTTTCTGTACCTAAAAGTGTTTCCTACGGTATTTCAGTAGATAGAAAATAATATCATACACGGCTTTTACAGAGGATCACCATCAAGAAATTTGTATTTTATCAGAATGTCCACTATATGGATGGTGTAAAAAAAATTCTCATAAACCATCTGCTATTTTCAAAGACCTTCAGATCGAGAAGATCACCAGATCCATAAGGCTCGATGACCACCAGATCCGAAATAGTGTACATTATAGAGTTGATAGGCCACCAGATTCAAAGGTTTGGATTTTTGTAAAACAAAAACATTTTTTCAAGGACCATTTAATAGTCCAAAAGCCGTGGATTTCTGTAAAAAGAAAATTTTCTAGGACCTTCAGATCTAATGGTTTAAATACTATCAGATTTTTTTTCAACATTTCATATCCGTCCATATTTTGATATGGCCGCTAAATAGATAGAAAAAGGCTAAACCATTTGGAAATTGCTCGAAAGCTTGGAGCAACTTGGAAGTTTGGAATCATGGAAATCCGTTTCTATATGGACAATATTGCCAATTTTTTAATATTCCATTTTCAAAAAATCAGCTTTTTTGTTTTTGTGACACATCAATGATTTTTGGTACACATATAGAGAATAATGTTCTGACTCCGAAACCGTTCGCGATCAAATTTTTGGTTGATGCGCCCAAAAGTTATCGAGGTTTTAATTTTGAGCATAAGAAAAAAATCTTAAAATTACGCCGTTTATTATATTGACCAAAAAAGTTGATATATATCTTCCTCCGTAAAACAAGAATATGAATATATTATAATAATCACGATAAAGTTGCACATATTCGCGAAATATGAAAAAAATAAAAAATGTAGCAGATTACATCAATATTTTCATTATATTAATGGCATACACACACCTAAAAATTAATTTAAAAATATCTACATAATTTAAACACGATGGTGAATCAAATGATATAAAAATCACACAAGTCCGTGTAGCGGTTTCTAAATCAAAGCGACAACAAAACAAGATATTGAGGAAAAATATTTGTTTTTGGTACGAAAAAATAATGTCATCATATTTATTTTTTTAATTGTATACAAGAAATTTCAGAAAAAAATGTTGGGGTTATTCTGCTATTTTACCCGAATTTCGCCGAAAATTTGACATATATAATAATAATCACTTTTTGTGTATAAGTATACGCCTTGCGGATTATATCAAGACCCTTCCGATAAATCTTAGAATTCTATAAATAGGAATAAATCTTAAAATAAAATAATATTATGAAATATACATTTTACATTGCGTGTAAATCGCGTAATTCTCAAAATCATTTGATGCGCATGCGGTTTCCAGGAAGTACTGAAGTTTATCATCCAATCCATATATATTTTGCGAAATTTCATTTGACGGCTAAGATGTGCCACACGTTACATTGAAGTACCCAAAAAATCGTAAAACGCGAATAATTTCCGAAAACTCCATATGTCATTAACGCGCATCCGATTTCGGTTTGCACCCTAAAAAAATACATCGATCTATACCTATTTCAATGTGGTCCATTAGGAACAATGGATGTGCCAGCTCACACTATTTTTGAGATAAATTGGATCTAAATCGCGTAATTCTCAAAATCATTTGATGCGCATGCGGTTTCCAGGAAGTACTGAAGTTTATCTTCCAATCCATATATATTTTGCGAAATTTCATTTGACGGCTAAGGTGTGCCACACGTTACATTGAAGTACCCAAAAAATCGTAAAACGCGAAAAATTCCCGAAAACTCCATATGCCATTAACGCGCATCCGATTTCGGTGTGCACCCTAAAAAAATACATCGATCTATACCATTTCAATGTGGTCCATTAAGAACCATGGATGTGCCAGCAAAATCCATTTTTGAGATAAATTGCGTACATCTCTCTTTCGGCCGAAGTTTTTAAAGTTCTTTTTTCGAAAAAGATCAAAATCCGTATGAGGTCATTTATTGAAGCGGAAATGATACACAGAAAACGCAAATAAATCCGCGATATTTTCAAAAACATTTTTTGCCAAATTTGTGTTTTTGGAAGGCCAGTTCCAGCCGTTCTAATAGATGGATTTTCACGAAGAAGATTTTATATCATCCGAAACGTAAAAACCCTTATTGATCGCGGGTACCCATATCATTCAGTTGACAGATCTAAAAATTTGGCCCGAAAAATAGGTTTTTTAGAAATTTGATCGCACAAAATTCGCACCTTCGGATGAGTATTACTCTGAAGCTGTGCATACTACATACACAAAATACATATCAAATTACGCAGATTCGCGACTACAATAATCTTATAATCGATTTTTATAAATTCCTGTTTGCGTATTAAAGCTAGAAGTAACATTAAAAAAACACTCAAAATCGAGCTTCAAAATGTCAGCATCATTTAAAGGTAGATGCAGTGAAAATTTTGAAAAATGATACATAAGGGCCGTAGCTCCATTTTGTTGGCTTCTAGTTTTACTTTGACACGAAGACCGTGAAATGAGTGGCTTAATCACAAATCGATAGAGAACATAAAAAAACTGGTTCGCCCCAACGTGTTTTTACACATATTTTTACATTAAAGTAGACACAGTTTCCACCAAAATAAAGTTTGGAGGTCAATATCATGAACAGTTTGCAACGATAGATCAATTAACCGAAAACTATTCACTTTTTTCATATACTTTAGTAGTTCCCGAGTTATAAAGGGGTGAACCTCCGCTTCAGCTATGTTAAAAAATTGGCAATATTGCCCATATAAGAAATTATATGAATAGATCTTGTTTCGAAAATTATTATTGTTCATTGTTTGTTTCATTGAAAAGACGTACATTCATTTCAGTCCCTACTTCTGCCCCCTTTAAAAACATTCGGTTTCTATCTTCATTTCGACAGAGATATGTATGTACCATGGTAACACAGAATATTTGATATGTATTTTCGTATTGCTTTTTATTCTCAGAACAAGAAGAAGATATTTTTCAATTTAAATTTTCGCCATTTCTCAATTCAGAAGAGTACTGTTATGTGTCAAGAGAAGAGAGATCCAAACATCGCGAGGTGTCACATAAACACTACAAAGGTGTCCTGACAACTTTTATGGATGTTTCTATTCAACAAACGGGACTCTCTCTTCTATTTGACTGTTTTTGTGTGTGTGTGTATCTCAATATCATTCATTTGTTTAGTTAGTTTTGTGATTGTTTCAATTTAATATTTTTTTTTTGTAATATATCCTTAGTTTGTTTTTCTATAATTTCTTTATATTTACTTATAAATAAAGTTGTCAGTTTATAAAATTTGTTTTTCTCTCTTTTGTTTTGTTTTTGTTGTTGTTTTTTGTTATTTCAATAATATATATATAGTTTAATTCATTATTTAAAAGCGTCTTTATACAAACATATTGATTACTTTCTTCCTTTTGTTTTCCTATGTGTGTGAGTGTGTTTATAGTGTCTCAGTTTGTGTGTGTGTGTGTAGCTATGGCGTGGTTGTTTGGTAGGCTGCTTAAAAATTCGAGGTGAGGAAGGGTGTATGCACTTTTCTTTATTTAATAAGGATATTTATGTAATATTGTGTGTGTGTGTCTTGTGTATTTGTTCTTCTTGTTGTGAAAATATGTCTCTTTTTCTCTTGTTCTAGTTTCTATGTACTCTGTTGTTGTTGTGGTTGGTTTTTTGTTGTTGTTGTTTTTTTTAATTGTTGTTATATAGGCAAAGTAAAATCCCTTAAAAAATAAATGATAATTTCAACTATTCTTAAGTTATGCGAAACATCAACGCATTAACGTTTCAAAGTATGCCCGTCTCAACATTGTGAGCTGTCCCCAATGTATTCGGATCGAAATTCATTTTAAATTCACCGGATATAACAATTTCCGATATACAGCCAACGATGCCGTTCGTATATCTTCGTCGTGGGAAATATACCGAGTCGGGGAGGCCACCTGTAAAAAAGGAGAGAGAGAAATGTAGATGTATGAGAGAGAAGCATGGGAAGAGAGTTGGAAGTTGTGTTAAAGAAAAACTAAAAAAAGTTCTTGTAGCTATAGAATAGTTTAAATTATATTTTTCTCATAAAATATATGAAAAAGCTCTTCTTGATGATATTACAAGGTTCTTATATCAATAAGAGTTTTAAAAATGTTTTTCTGTCCTTCGAAGGGCTGAATAAGATCTTCTATTTATAGAAAAGCTGAATACGACCTTAGCTCTTCTATCTATAGAATAGCTGATTTATATCAGCTCTATATGAATAGAGGTTTGGTCAAAGTTCTTCTTACAATTAAAGCTCTTCTACCTTTAAAATAACTAAAAACTCTCCTCTATTTATAGGAATCTGTCTGTAAAAGCCCATCTTTATAAGAGCTGCAAACACTTTTCAATCTATATATAGAGACCTGTAAAAACTCTTCAATATACAGAAGATCTTTTAAAGTTTTCCTGTGGAGCTTTCAGAACCCATTAATATATAACAAAATTGCAAAAGTTATTCCCTCAAGCTTTTTAATGTTTAAAATTAGTTATTCAATCTATAGAAGGCCAAAGCTTTTCTACGTAATGTAAAACTGTGGAAATATAACAGCTTTTCATCTTTTAAGAGAAACATTGCCAATGTTATTCCGTCAAGCTTTTTAATGTATAAAAAAAAACTGCCAAGTACATCAATCTATAGAAGACCTGTCAAAGCTTTTCTACGTACAGTAAAACTGTGGAAATAAAAGTGATTTAAGGGCTATTCTTTTAAGAGAATATCTTTAATTTGTAGAGCTGTCAAAGCTCTTGTATGGGCTTTCAATGCCAATGTTATTCCGTCAAGCTTTCTAATGTATAAAATAACTGCCAAATACTTCAATCTATAGAAGACCTGTCAAAGCTTTTCTACGTACAGTAAAACTGTGGACATAAAAGTGATTTTAGGGCTATTCTTTTAAGAGAATACCTTTAATTTGTAAAGCTGCCAAAGTTCTTTTATGAGCTTTCAATGCTGCTCTATCTACAAAAGAGCTGGCAAAATTTAGAACAAGCTCTTTTATATTTAGTTTTTTTTTTTAAATTTTCCTCTAAAGAAGAGTAGTTATGAAAGCTCCATTTGTAAGAACTGCTAACCAGTTTCAATCTATATATAGACACCAGTAAAAGCTTTTCAATTTACAGCAGATCTTTTACAATTTTTTTTTGAAGCCGTTTGTATATACAAAAAGGTCAAAAGTATTCCGTCTATAGGATAGATGTCAAACTTTTCCATGTATAGAATAACTGCCAAAGCTCTTCAATCTATATAAGTGCTGTCAAAGCTTTTCTACGTACCTTAAATAGAAAAGATTTTAGAGCTATTCTTTTAAGGAAAGGCCTTTTAATTTGTGGAGGATCTATAAAGACTCTTCTATGAGCTTTAGCTTTTCTAGCTACAAAAGATCGGTAAGAGATATGGCGAGAACTGTCAAATCTCTTCTATAGTTAGAAATGCTGTAAAAGCTATTTTAAATTTTAAAGAATTTTTAAATTTTTCTCCATCTTTAGAAAGCTGTTAATGCTTTTCTATCAAGCTTTTCTATCAATTAAATGTACAATAATGATGACAAAGCTTGTATATTTAGAGATGTGTTGTCAAAGCTCTTCTGTAATTAGAAGAACTATTAAAGCTCGTTTAAATTTAGAAGATTTGTAAAGCTTGTGTATAATTAGAAAGCTGTCAAGTATCCTTTGTTTTATAGAAGAGCCATTAAATCTTTTTATCCTATGGAGGAACTGCTAATGCTCATCTAATGCTCCTTAAACACTCTTTCTTTCGTAGAGTGTTTAATCTCGTATATCTTATGAAAAACCTTTAAAGCTTTTCTTTTCATCGAAAATCTATGAAAGCTTTTATTTCTGTAGAGCAGATTTCTCAAGTGTTTTGTCGATAGAGGAGCCGTCAGGGCTTTTCTATTTAGAAAATAGATTTCAAAGTTTTCTTGTTTTATAGAAAAATCGTTAAAGCTTTAAACCTGTGGGTTTAAATTCTCTCTTCTATTAATCGAAAACCTATTAAAGCTTTTGTTTTCGTAGAGCAGCTTTCACAAATGTTCATCTGTAGAAGAGGCACCAAGGCGTTTGTATTTAATAAAGAGGTTCCAAAGTTCTGTTATTTTATAGCTCGCCTATCTTCTGAACGACTTTTAAAGTTCTTCTATTCATCGAAGAGCTATCATAGCTTTTATTTCTGTAGAACAGCTTTCACAAGTGGTTTATCTTTAGAAGAGCCGTTGACGCTTTTCTATTTAAAGAATAGATTTTAACGTTCTGTTTTTTTGTTTATAGAAGAGACGTTAAAGTTTTTTTGGCCTAAGGAGGAACTGACAAAGCTATTCGTCTATCTTCTGAGAGGCTTTTGAAGCACATTAATGTTTAGAAGAGCTTTCAAAGCTCTTATAGAGTTCTGTTCATAGAAAATTTAGTCATTCTATGAACTTCCATCTCGGTCTTCGTCACTAGAAGATCTTCACTTGGGTCTAATGTAGGTATCCTCTAGATTACCGTTATTGAAATTAACTTACCAACATATAAACCGGTATCCGTGTTTAATTGACGTAGTGTACCCGGCGATCTAAGGGTTATGCTCTTGCGACCATCAACCTCCAGATAGCCTTCTTGGTTATTTCTGGAAAAGAAAAAAAAACAAATATGAAATGAAACAATTCTCCAACATCACATAATCCCATTAAATCCTTACCTTATGGCCCTGACACGATGCCACAGACCATCGCTAATTTTGGTGGCATTAAAACGAATATCCACCTCACCAGAACCCAGATTGTAGCGGAAGTGCAGATACCTGCCAAAGGAAAATTTAATTTCCATTCTGAACAAAATTTCCCTCCCTTCCCCTCTCAACTTACCCATCCTCTATACCCAGCGACAGATAATCATCCGAATCCTGATCCATGGTACCCACACAGGCTGTCCACAAAATGACACCATGTTCAGACCTCGTTTTTATTCTCAAATTCAAATCGATATTATTGCTAATAATTTGATTCATTGTATCCGGATCATTGTAATGGAAATAGGATTCATGACCGACAAAACAGGCACCGAAATTTTTCCTCACTCCAATGGGTGGGCGATTTTCATTCGAGGGTAAATCGAATTTACTTAGCAGACTCCAATCGGTGTGGGTTTGTGTGGGATCACCCGATGAGGGGAGTTTCTTTTTAATTTCTTCAAATT